TCTTTGATACTATCCTTCAATCTATATCAAAATTGATTGATAAGTGCTTTGACATTCTAGTCCATATCACAAGCCATGTTTTAGAATTCAGCAACATATGTGGTGGCTGATTGTAGTTCTTATTGTAAAGATAAGAATTTGGTCTATACTATTTGTTCTTGATCACTTTCTCCAAATGTGGCCATAAATACTTCTAGGAATGAATTCAAATCATAAAGGAGTCGCAAATCTTTTTTCATTAAAGGTACAAACTAAGAAAGAATATTTTTTGAAAGAAGGGCGCCTATGAATCCAACTTGAGTAAATCCATTAGGATATTAGAAAGGATGCAACCTTAGATAGAGCTTGACTTGTTGCAAAAATCTTCAAAATTTTGGTCTTCTTCCATCAAACTTTTTAAGCATACTAATGCATACTCTTGTCATATTTATAGAGACAAAACTCGGTGAATTTGGTTGTGAGGTTGATCTACTTGCTTCCTTCAATTGCACAATTTTTTGCTATAGTCTCTGAACTTCTTGTATAGGCATAGGCATAGTACCTCCATGATTCACATTAGAAATACATGAAATTTCCACTCTAAGAGTATTGAGAAGCTCACGAAGATCTACAATAGTTTCAAATCTATTCTCATTTCGACTAGGAGTAGCATCTATAATCTTTTCTTTCATAAGAAACTCAAATAAATCCAAAAAAGTTAAATTAGAGGAGGGTAATCCACAACCTCTAATAAAAATTTCCACAAAGAGGGATAATTCACTTTCTTTAAGAAAAGATCAATGTTAAAAAATAAGATTTTTTTGTTTAAAAGATAGATAGTCCGCAACCTTTAAAATACAACAATAAAAATGAAATAATTCACTCACTTCTAAAACAAGACAGAAATAATATGTTAACACTCTTTCCAAATTGTCAAAGACATAAATCTCAAAAAAAGAGAATTCTTGATACACTCTTGTATCATTAAAGAGAACTAAAAAGTCACTCAAAAGGTAATGTAATATTAATTAGAATGTCTATTGTCAAAAACAAGAAGACTAGAAAGTCTTGAAATAAGACTAAGGACAAGAATGGTGTTGACAAGAGTGAAGAAGGCTTTATTCTTGCCTCTATATATACTCTTAACTAGGAGTTATGTGGCGATGTCTTATAGGACCTCCAAAACATATTGACTTTACTAGCCATATGTCTTAACTTGTAAGGCAAGTTATCTATGTATGCGCCACATGGTTAGCTTGTTTTATAAGCTACTATACGGAGTTAACTTATTCTACAAGCTACCTACATGTGGTTAACTTGTTGGCCAAGTTTTTAGCCTATAAATACATCTAAAGTCAAAATTATATCTATGAAGCTTCTAAGAAGCTTCACTAAAAGACTTTATGAAATTAATCTATATTTATTTACTTCTATCTAATCATATAAGTAATTATTGAAGTAAATGTATATGTCCGTGACATTACAAGAGGTACGACACCACCTTCTTATCGCACAAAATTGATAGGAGCAATATACGGATGGCGACCGATAATATAAGACCTTTTGAAAGAGTGATCAGGTATTACTCTCCAATGCCAACTTATCACTTGTTGCATCAATCCAAATCTCTAAATTGATATCTCAATGGCATGGATCTTTCCACATTTCTATAGTAATTTTTGATGTCGCATATTGCCAATAGTTTTTGCCTTATATTTGGGTCTATCTTATCTTCTATGTTTTTCAACTGAAGAAATTTTATACTAAGTCAAAGCACTTTTTGGATGGATACCAACCATTACCATGACTAATTGTAGTTGATAATCAACAAGAATAAGAAGTAGAAAGCATTTTGGAGCATTGCTACCTTTGCCATGGCAATGGACATCTATAACTTGAATACAAAGTTCTTTGAAAAGATTATCTAATTCACGATGCAATAGAGAAATTTGCATAGAATCTCATCTATTACCAAGAGACAATTTGGAGATACCATTGGAATTTACATATATTTTTATACCATTAAAAATAAATTTTTAATTTTTAATTTTTAATTTTTATTGAATAAAATCTCAATGAATAGATTGTAACTAAGTTTTTGATTATGTAATTACTTGATTTTATTTATTTTATTTGTTTTATATTTGATCTTCTTTTGTAATTCCTATTTTCTTCTTTTACTTCACTCCACTAATTATAAGTAACTCTTAATTGAAGCCATCTTATAATTTGAGTTGAAGGGTGAAATTTACCTTCACAATAGCATTCTACTTTCTATTCTTGTTTATAACATTTGTGCATTTGTAATACTAAAAAGATAAAGAATCAATAATTAGAAGATTTAATTCAAGAGTTATCACTTGCTAACTTACTGGAGAAGATATTGCAATTTTTATAACCTTCAAGATGACATAATTGAGATGAAGATCCTCAAGAATGACATTTTTATCCTTGAATAGATGGTGAAATACAATATGTTTGATATCATGACCTTGAAAGTGACTCCCAATATTTGGTGATTTTATTAAAGGTAGGAACGACTCTTAATAGTATTTCAAATATTTTGTTTGAAAAGAATTACAAATGATCAAATAATAAGATGGTCTTTTGACCTTGGTATTAGATACTATTAATAGCTAAAAAATCTATCAACCATCTTCAAAGAAAACAAAGATCAAAGTATGTAGCAAATATAATTTGTTGCATCATGTATTTCTTCAACATATGATGACCACTCCTTGTGAAAATTATCCTTTGATGAAGGGGTAATATTATAGACATACATATTTACTCTAATATTTACTCATATGATTAAATAGAAGTAGATAAAAATAAATTTATTTCATAATAATTTTTAGAAAAACTTCATAGAAGCTTTATAGATATTGTATTAACTTTATACATAATTGTAGTTGATTGATAGATTATAAACTTGGTCAACAAGTTAACCATGTGTTGGTAGCTTGTAGAACAAGCTAACTATATAATGCACATATAAAAACTTATCTTATAAATTAAGATATGTGTCTTATAAAGTAAACATATTTTGAGGGTCTTATAAGACATCGCCATTTAGCTCCTAATTAAGAGTATATATAGAGGCAAGAGTGAAGCATTTTTCATTCTTATCAACATCTTTCTAGTCTTTAGTCTTATTCCAAGACTTTCGAAGTCTTTTTGTCTTTGACAATAGCCATTCTAGTTTAATACTATATCATCTCTAAGTGATTTTCTAGTCTTTTTGAGTGATATAAGAGTATATTGACATTTTAGTTCTTTGAGATTCATGTCCTTGACAATATATGCATCTATTATACTTTCAGATTATTACAATTTTTATTATATAACTTAATTTAAAAGCAAAGAAACTTATATTATGATCTATTAAAATTATTAAGATGAAATTACAAAAGGATTTGACAAAAGATATTATTACATACATTATGTATATATAAACTATTATGAAATCATATTACATACAAAAACTTATTGATATATTACATTGTAATATTTTTAAAATTTTCAATTGACATATAGTTTTAAAAATATCAACTATATGGAAGAACTTGCATTGGTTATAATATTATAAAATAATAATTTAAGCATTATATATTTATATATATATATTTATATATCATTAAAAAAAATTAAAATTTTATTCAACAAAAATACCTTTGAAATCACATGATATAATTGTGATTAAACTTTGATTTTGTTCATATAAATTATCTTAAAAAATAACAACATGGATTTTGTATATAAAGTTTGTTCTTAGTATGATCTTATGATATAGAATATTATTATTTTTGGGTTTTTATATTAGTATTTTATATAAATAGTTTATATTTAAAATATGTAATTTATTAAAAATTTATTTTGAAAAAATCTTAAAATAATAAAATAGATTTAATGATTTTTAAAAAATATATAATTAACTATAATAATTTTATAATTTTAAATATAATTTCAAAATATATAAATATATATATATATATATATATATATTTTTTAATAGTTTGATTATCAAATTTCAATCAAGATTATATTTTCATGTAGTATATCATATAGACATACATATATACATGTAATTTTATATGTTTGGCATATATTATCTATATCATTTAATATAATTTTTTTAAAGAAATCACTTAATATATGTAATGTACATGAAAGAAGAGAAAGTTAGGAACTAAACATTTGTTTAGAAAGAATAAAAAAATATTTATAAATATTTTATGTTTTAAATTATGTTAACAAAAGTACAATATTATCTCTACCAAGTTATAACCTATGTAAAGTTATGGAAAAAACAGTGGAATTAACATGGTTCTACAGTGCTAAGTAATCCCCACAAAGTTATAACCTCCCATACGTTCTACTCTAAGCTGCAAACCAATCCCATAACTTGGTAGAGGTAATATTGTGATTTGCATACATGAATCTGAATACGTTTCACGAAATACTATTTTTGATTCTGATCAAGATTAGAAAAAGAAAAAGAAAAAAGCATTAGCTTCCAGCTCAATTTGAACATTACTGGTGTCTTTACATGTATTAAGTGATTTCTTTTAAAAATAAAAATAAAATAAAATAAAAATCTTTGAATGATGATAACAATATATCGGTTTGATTTCTTGTACGACGACATGTTTTTGAGTGCTTCTAAAAGATTACATGTACTTTTCTTTAAAAAAATAAAAATAAAATAAAAAAATGTGCTATTTTATTCCAAAAACCTTAAAATAGAATGACTGTAAAGATAATGATACACATCCTCATGGAACACGTCAGCAATATTTTCCCCATCAGAATCGAAGCGCCGTGGCGAAGACAAAGTGAACGAATTCGGGCACACTCACACCACCAGTTCCCGCCCACCAGCGATGGCGCCATTAGAGGATGGCGCTGTGGTGCCTCGAACGGAGCCCACAGGGGCGCGAGTGCCCGAAGGTGGCATTAGGCAAGGCGGGCGGGAGGGCGTGAGGGCGGGAGGCGAGGGGTCTGGGAGGGACAGGGAGCCAAAGGGGAGGGGCCGGGGACTGGGCTCATTCCTTTCTTCTCCTCCTCTTCTTCTCCCATGTCGTTTTGGTCGGAACCAAACTAAGGGCTCTTCGCCGTCTCTCCAGCTTCACCTTCGGTTGCCTTGGCTCCTCTCCCCTCCCTCCAACAATTGGCACCTTTCCCCGTCACCCTACGTCTCTCGTCTGTCGCGGGCATTGCCTTCTTGTCAATCCTGCCTCATTGCCTTACTCCATCCCCGCCTCTCCTCGTTCCACCTACCGTTCGTCCGAATTTTTAGCCGTGCTCGTGGTTTCTTTTGGTCCACCTCTGGGAGAGCATACCACGGATCGCATCTCGGTGCTTTTAAGCTTTCAGCTTACATTGAAGGTGATGGGATTTTCCTAGGGAGACGTGCCCGTGGACGAGCAATTATCTTGATTGCGAGAGTTCCATTTTCTATGAGTCAACAGTTGGAGTTCAGCAGGCGCGGGAGAAGGGTAAGTGCCAGGTCGTTTGAATTAGGGTTTGCGGGAGGTGACAGTAGGGTGTGGAAGTCCGCGCCGTTGTCTCGAGTTTGTGCTTGTAGGGATATTTTGGGGGAGCACATGGCGTGAGTGGGAATAGCATTGGTGTTAGCGACGGTGTGGAGGAGATCTGTGAGTGTTTGTGACTGGGCCTGCGGATTTTAGTTTGGGATCTTGCTGCGGTCGCGGGTTTGCTCCCTGGCTTGTTTCTGGAGCGGCATTTTCCCTTCCGCCCTGCAATTTGAATTAGATTGAGCAGGGGCACGCATTGAGTGTGGTATTAAGGCTTAGTAGCAACCTTAGTATCTATGAAATCCTCTCGTGTGGTTCGTGCGCTGGAGCTTCACGAGCTTCCTTAAGGGTTCTGATCCCCGCTTTTCTAGTCTTTTTGCCTTCTTCCGTCGTTTTTTCTTGCAAGGAGAGCGGCTGATGAAGCATCTGGCAGCATAATTTTATGCTCCCCTACTGGAGCTTGTGACGGGTTCTGATTAGCTGTCCATTTTCTCTCTGATGCAGGCGTGGTGGTTAACATTGTCTGTTGCCGCGTGGACTTAGTCTTTGCAGGATTGCACAAAAGAGGTTGTTGTACGTCGCTGGATGCAAAGCTGTCTAGAGCAACTCGGCTGTAGCGTGTAGTTGAAGTCAAGTGGCCTGAAATACCGTCCAGGAGCAGCGCTGGGTCTCCTTTGCTGGGCTATATAAGCTACTTATCTCCTTTCTGCTTTTTAATCAGGTTTTAGCACTTTGAGCTTCAATTTTGAAGCGCTCAGCGGTGTGGTGGTTGTTTCATTGCCCCCGAGGGCATGACGTTTTGGTCTCTGCACTCCATGATCGCAGTCTGGCCTTGATCAGTCACCGGGTGTATTTTTACAAGCCCGTTTTCCGGAGTCTTATGTTCACATTCGTTTTCAGTTCTCTGAAACTGGACTTACACTTATCTCAGTAGCTGCCCAGGAGGTTGCTACAATGAGTGCCGTTAATGTGACGAACGTGACCGTGCTGGACAATCCGTCTATGTTCCAGAACCCCTTTCAATTCGAGATTTCTTACGAATGTCTGGTTCCACTTAAAGACGGTAAGTCTTTTTCACTCTTCAATGGCGCCTAGTGTGCTGATTTACTTATCTATTTACTTGGCTGTGTTAAGCTTATTGTTATGCTGATTCCATACCAAATGGCAAAAGCATTGCTGCTCGTATTGCGTTGCAGGGCACACTAAAAATTCAGAACCATTTGCTTAGTCAGTTCACTATTGCTTTTGCTTTTTCACCGATGTAGATCTCGAATGGAAGCTGATATATGTCGGGTCTGCCGAGGATGAAAAGTATGATCAAGTTCTTGAGAGCGTTCTTGTTGGTCCGGTCAACGTTGGAAACTACAGATTTGTTTTTCAGGTATGTCATCCTTGCATAAATGTTTGAGCAAGCTGCATAGTTAAACCTACTAGGGTTGTAATTACGTGACCAGCTACATAATTTTGCGAGTGTTTTCCTATATTTCTAGCTAGTATCTACACGTTACTCAAACTGAGTAACGTGTAGATAACGTGTAGATACTAACTGGCTATTGTAATTGAGTGATTCACCAATCCGGTCCAATTGAACATGGTTTAGAACAGGTTATGTCTTACTAATGTCTATTTTCTAATAGACATCTTTTGCTTACGTTTCCGTGGAATTCTGCAGGCAGATCCACCGGAGCCATCCAAGATCCCCGAGGAAGATATTATTGGAGTCACCGTGCTATTGTTGACATGCTCTTATGTGGGACAGGAGTTCCTCAGAGTTGGGTATTATGTTAGCAACGAGTACGTTGATGAGCCTTTACGTGAAGAGCCACCCGCCAAAGTTCTTATAGATAGGGTGCAACGGAACATCCTTGCCGACAAACCACGGGTCACCAAGTTCCCAATCGTCTTCAATGCCACACCCCCTTCTAACCAAGTGACAGATAATGCATCTGCCAACAGCTATCCCATGGTTTACAACGCGCCACCTCCAAGCCAAGTGACCGATGCGGAACTAGATGACGGTGTCAGACCGATGGAAATCTCGTCAGCTTATCCACAGCAGGACTAGGTCTGCGGTGAGTAATATTGTACATCTGCATAGTCTCACCTGTAAAACATGAGGGTACACAAGTTTGGGTAAATCAGGATGAAGCCCTCATCTGAACACTTTAGTTCTAGAAATAGCTTCAGGATCAGTACGCATTAGATTCAGAGCCTGGTGAGATTTTTGTGGGGGAGGGCAGGGCTTTACTGTAGATTCATGTTGACTACCCCAGGTTACATGTGAAAAGATAGTTTCAAAACTTTGGAGGTACACTTGAAAGTTGAATGCAGGGTCCGTAGCGTAGGCGAAGCTCTCTTTGATCTTTGTTGTGGTCGATTTGATGGCATGTGAAGAGTTTCTGAGTTGGCTTTGTGCAATCTTTTGTTCCCGCTGTGTATGCTGTCTGCAATTCCAGGTTATCAAAATCGTCGAATGCCTATTCTTCCGTTAATCTTAATAGACGTGTATGATACAGAATGGCACAAATATCAGTCTCACAGGAAGTGGTGATGGCTGAGATTAGACTATCATGTTTGGTGGATTACATCAGGTTATTATTATGTGTGGGAAGAGGATTTTTATACTTAGGGAAAGAAATAAGAGGCCACAATTTTTAAATTCTTTGAAATTAAAAAGTTTCTCTAAGTTGATTTCATACTTAGAAAAAGTAGTCTAAAGATTATAAGAGAAAAAGTTAAAAAAAAAATGAATGCACATTTTTATTACATAGCACGAATAATATTGTTTCTAAGAATTTCTATTGAATCCATTTTAAGAAGTGGTTTTCAAAAAGATTTGAAAAAATGTATATGGAATTTGTACTAAAAAAATGATTTGGTCTATTTCAATGCCTTTTTTTATATTATATTGTCTTCAAAGGTCAAAGTTTTTGCACCATAATCTTTTAAAGTGGCTTTAAGATATGGAATTTTTCTAAATATGTAATGTATAATAATTATGTTTGAGTTTGAATAAGAATAGAGAAATTATTTGTAGTAAAATGTTTGTATTCATGTCAAAGCATATAGAGAAGATTGTAGAACATTGAAAGAATCTTTGACATTGTGATAAATCTTTCTAAAACATTCAGAAACTTGATAGAAGTATATAATAGGTAACTTAAAATTAAGCTATATTAGATGGTATTCTAAGAGACCTTTAGAATATCTTAGGAATCAAGCTACATAATTAACTTAAAATGTAAGTCTTTTGAGGAAGCTTTTTGAAATGTTTCATAAGACAATGCTTATAAGTCATCTATTGGTTTGTATGGCAAGACATACTAGCCTTGTACATTAAACTTTGGATCTTTTAAGGTATATAAGTAGTGACAAGATTGAGGCCATCATAGTATTAAACTAAAATGGCTATTACTAAAGACAAGAAGACTAGAAAGTCTTGAAATAAGACTAAAGATTAAGAAGGCATTGACAAGAGTGAAGAATACTTCACTCTTGCCTCTATATATACTCTTAACTATGAGCTATATGGCTATGTCCTATAGGACATCCAAAATGTGTTGACTTTGCAAGAAACATATCTTAACTTGCAAGTTTTCTATATGTGCGCCACATAGTTAGCTTATTTTGTAAGTTATTAATACACAATTAACTTATTCACCAAGTTTCTAACTTATCAATTAACTACAAATACATGTAAAGTCAATACAATATCTATGAAGCTTCTACAAAGCTTTTCTAGAAAATATTATCAAATGAATTTATTTTTATTTACTTCTACTTAATTATATAAAAAAATATAAGAAAAAATATGTATATCTATGATATTATCTTCCTTTCTAGGATCAAGTTTCACAAGGAGCAATCATCATATGTTGAAGAAATCCAAAATGCGACAAATTATGTTTGCCACATACTTTGATCTTTGTTCTCTTTGAAGATGGTTGATAGATCCTCTTAGCCATTGATAGTTTTTTCATACTATAGCAGAAAGACCATCTTATTATTTGACTATTGTTGAGGCCTTTATAACTCCTATCAAATAAAATATTTGGAACACCGTGAAGACTTGTTCCTACTTCTAATAAAATCACCAAAAATCAAGAATCTCTTCTACGGTCATGATATCAAAAACATTGTATCTCACCATCTGTTTGAAAAAAGACATACTATTGTTGAGGATCTTCATTTTGAGTATGTCATCTTGAAGGTTGTGACAATTGCAATGTTTTATCCAATAAGTTAGCAAATAATAGCTCTTGAATTAAATCTATTCGTTGTTGGTTCTCAATTTCTTTAACATCATAAATATACAAAAATTACAAATAAAAGTAGAAGGTAGAATGCTATCTTTCTTAGATCTTCTATAACAAAGATTTGTTATTTTTTATCTTGGTTTTGATGGATATCATCAATAAAAAGTTTCAACCTTCTTTCTTATATTTGCAAGATTCTTTGCTAGCATCTATGTGCATTCACTAATATCATATCCGCTCCAATAAAAAAAATATTCTAATCTATTTTGGAGCTTCTTGAATCTAAGACTTTTTTTACATCAAACTTTTGATTATTATCTACTTTTATAGGAGGAAGTGGAATTTGTCTTCTTCTTGAGATATTCACTATTTTATATGGCTCAAAAAGAAATATTATCAAAGAGATGAAGCTTGAAGAAAGAAATCCTTAATATGTTCTTTTGTCACTCAAAAGAACTACAAAGTCACTCAAAGATGATATAGTATTAAATTAGAATGACTATTATTAAAGACAAAAAGACTAGAAAGTCTTAAAATAAGACTATTAAGTAGAAAGGCATTGAGAAGAGTGAAGAAGACTTCACTTTAGCCTTTATATATACTCTTAAGTAGGAGCTATATGGCAATGTCTAATATGACCTCTAAAATGTGTTGACTTTGTAAGACACATATCTTAACTTGCAAGACAAGTTTTCTAAATGTATGCAATATAGTTGGCTTATTTTACAAGCAATAAACACGTAGTTAATTTGTTCACCAAGTTTCTAATCTATTAATCAATTATAAAGACATGTAAAATCAAAGCAACATTTATAAAGCTTTTCTAAAAAATATTATGAAATAAATCTATTTTTATTTACTTCTATTTAATCATATAGATAAATATTAGAAGAAATATGTATGTTTGTGATAGATACATGGAATACGGGATGGATCTTCATAGACTTTGATATATATAATTGATAAGCAACATAATTGATTTGTTGACAAATAGAAAAAAGTCCAAGCCCACAATAGTCCAACTTTTCATAAAGATGAGTAGTCTTGATATAGCAGCAAAGTAGCCATAACTTATCACCTATAGTGAATTGTAGTTGTTTTTTGTGATAGGTATTTGCATTGCTCTTTTTTTTGTTCTTAAGCTTCTTTTAACTATGCCTTCATTGTAGCTTTAACAAACATTTTGCCAAATCTTTTACTGTAGGATTATGAACTTTTAAAAATTCAAAAGTATCAAATTATAGATAATAACCATAATTGATTAAAAGAAAAAAAAAATGTTTTTTGAGTAGAAGAATGTGTGAAATTATTGTATGTAAACTTTGCCAATAGAAAAAGAGTTGTTCAATCATCTTAATGATAATTGATGGTATACTTCAAATACTACTTCAAAATTTGATTCATCTATTCTATTTGCCTATGAGTTTGAGGATGGAAAGTTGAAGAAATTTTTATATCCACCTTTAAAATCTTAAAAAAGGTTCTTTAAAATCTTGATATAAATTAAATTTTTCTATTTGATATAATATTTTTGACCAATCCATGATAGCAATAAATGTTGTGAAGAAAAAATTTAGTAATTTCTTTATTTATAATAAATTTTATACATAATACAAAATATGTTATCTTAATAAAATTATCTATTATTATAAATATAGAATCATAAAAAATTGAAATTGAAAGATTTATGATAAAATCCATAAAAATAGAGGTTCACAGTTGCTCCAAAATAGATAATAGCTAAAAAAGTTCATAAGGTCAATAATAAGGAGTTTTTGATTTTGAACAAATATCACATGATTGTACAAAGTCTTTGTCTGCCTTCTTCATTTGAGGCCACCAAAAATCTCTTGATATTAGTTTCAAAGTCTTATTAAATTCAAAATATTTGGTTGCTAAAAAATCATAACAAGCTTGAAGAATATGTAATTGTACTTTGCCTTCTAGAATGTATATAATCATCTATCAAACTAAAGTAGATTATTTTTGAACTCAAACTTAGAAGTATCATAAGACTTAAAAGAATTTTTCTTAATATCATGAACAAGGGAATCAAAGGATATACTTGATTGAATTTTCTTGACAAACATTGCATCAATAGTTAATGTTGATTTTATTACTTAAAGATGAAAATACTTTAGTTTTAAGAAGATTGTTCTTTGTTGATCAAAATATACATTTCTTTCTTTTGATGCAAGATAAAAATGTCTAAAAAGGCATTTGACAAACCTTGTTGTTTTTTAGGTCGATAAATAATCTTAAAATCAAATCTTGATAATAATATGCTCCAACGAGCTTAGTGACAATTCAAAACTTGTGCTAACATGAAATAGTCAAGGTTCATGTGATTTATATATATGATGACTAGAATAAAAGTGTCTTCTAGATAAAAATGCCATTTTTGAAATGAATCCATGATTACAAGAAGTTTTTTGTTATGGATGTCATTATTAATCTCTATTAGACTTATACTATTTTCAAATAAAAAGCTATCATATAGAGCTTGTCATTTTGTCCTATTTGTGATAAAATAATAATATAGTAAAGTCTAATGCATTTATTTTTATGAAGAATACATTTAAAAATTTAATAAAATATAAGATTAGTACAAAAATAAATATTGACTTTAAGACTTCAAAAGATACTTCAGCTTCATTGCTCCACTCAAATTTGTCTTTATATATCAGGTATGTAAGAGGGGCCACAACTTGAAAAAAATTTCTGATGAAGATTCAATAATAATTCAAGAATCCTAAAAAATATTGTACATCTTTGATTATTTTTGAAAATTTTCAATCCATAATAGTTTGGTTCTCCTTAAGATCTATCATAAGATCATTGTTTAGAATGATGTATCTTAGGAAGTCAACTTAAGTAGTATAAAATATACACTTTTCTATCTTAATATATAATCTTGCATCTCTTCATTTTTATAATATGTGACAAATATCAAGTATACACTCTTTTGTGTTCTTTTAATGTTGTCTAATTAACAAAGGACATAATTGGTAAGAAATTCACAAAAAATATCATTTGTTACATATTAAAAAGTAATTGTCATATTTATGAGTCTAAAAGATATGACATTATATTCAAATTGTCTATATCTAATTCAAAATATAATTTTTCATTCATCTCCTTTTTTAATGCGTACCAAATTAT